CTTAGAAAGAAGCTTGTCCTTTGTATCCTAAATCAAAGCAAAATAATGTTGTGCTTGAATTTCATTCTGGACCCACATTGTTTGCCCTGAAAAAGTAATAAAAAGAGAACACTCTCTTCCTCCCTCTTTCCTAGGAAGAGCGTCAGCTTGTTCCAGGGAGGCTCAATTGTGATCTGCAGTTGGGCGGCCTTTCATTAATGAGTGAGTTACTCTAGCTCTGAGTCTCAGAGTTTTGGGCAATCAAGGATTGTCTTTCAGGCAGAGGGTTGAGCACAGTATGGAACCACTGGAGTAGCAATTCTCTTTAAAGCCAATGTAAAGAAGAGATAACGCTGTAGTTGGTTAAATATAACTTACAAGCTACCCAGACAACAAACTTGGTTGTATCTGTTTTGCCACCAGGCATGTGTCTTGTCCTTGACTGTGGGGAGCAACCGGGACTAGACTAAGTTACTGGAATTAAGACTTATTCTATGCATCTGCTCTCCCACAATATGGCGCTGGGAGAGGAGAAAAAAGCTTCTACGCAGCTGCCTCTTGCCAACTTGAGTGATGACCTCCAGGAGCTGATCCTGCTCCTGATTGGAGGAGAGCAGCGTACTCGGCGTGTGGGCAGCCGAGTTGGGATTGGCGGAAGAGGACTATAAGGGAGGAGAGAGACAACATGCACCAGGAACATCTAAGGGGAACATCTATCTGAAGGAACACCTGTGCAGCCCCCGAGAGAGCCGGCCGGCGGTGTGCCGCTCCCTTGCGGAAGTGGGGAATGTGGCCAGGGGGAACCGCCCTTCCACGGAGGTGGAAGGGACTGCAGCCAACCCGGGAAGAACCAGCAGCAAACCCGGGAAGGGCCGAGCAGATGAAAGAACAGCGCAGGGTCCTGTGTGGTTCCTCCACGAAGAGGGGGAGCGACACTTGACCATTCTATAAAACTGTCATAGGCTTTTATCTAAGAACACAGACGAGAGCATTTTATAAATCTTGGTATGAAGCTTTCTCAAAAGTCCACAATTTTATTTTTAATGTCTTCTTTGAGATAATAGCTAGCTAAGGTTTTGTTTATTGGTTGGTTGGTTGATTTTTTCAACATTGGTGTAATTAAATTTTAATCTAGTTTTCAGACTACATAACTTGCACAATTTCTGCGTTTTGGTGGTGAGAAGAGTTTTGTCTATAGCCTAGTTAAATGTTCAAAAAAAGAACATGGTCTCTGTTGGTAGGGTAAGTAGCACATACAATTTTGCCTCATTAACTTTATTACTCAGAATCCTCACATACCAAGTAAGTATATGTCTGACCATGAGTGAATAATGTGCATGTGAATCACCTGAGCATCTTGTTAGACCGTAGATTCTGCTTCAGTGTATGTGAGAGGGGCTCCAAGATTCTGCTCCTCTAATGAGTTCCCCAGTGATGCCCATTCTACCCACCTGTGGACATTGTTTTGCGTGGCAAGGGCTTAAGCAAGATGTTGTTAGTATTTTGTAACTTAGTACCTAGGCATCCTCATGCAGAGATGTCCAACCCATATGCATTTCTATCCCTTGGAGTAGGTTGCAACTTTCAAGTTTCCACTAAGTGCTTACTTTTCTAATTTTCTCCATAATTCTAACTTTTAAAATATTACATTACTTAATGCCAGGGCATTTCATGCATAAGCATTTTTTTTTTACCAATACAAAATGATCCCCTCTCTCAGGTCTGTATCTTCTTTGCCTTCATTTATACTCTGCATGATGTTTATTAAACCATTCTGATTTCTTTTTTGTATGAATTTTCCCAGCATGTACCTAAAGCATAATAGATGTTAAATAGCTATCAATTAAATGAATTAAGTTGTCATCAACTATCAGATTATTATTGACCTTCATCATTTTGTTTCAAGAAATCTCTGTCTCTGTTTCTCCTTTCTCTGTCTGTCTGTCTTAATTTATTCTAGGACTTCTTGGTGAATATCTCGAGTTCGCTCCCCAGATTTCTGATTTGATGTCAGGAGTGTTAGTTATAGTCCTTAGTACTTCTAGATGGAGGGTTTTAGTTTTAGTTTTGCTTTTCACTATTTTATCTCTTTTTTACTTTTACTTACATAAGTTTCCCATTCAGTTGGGTATCATTTGTGTCATCTTAGCCTAATGGTTCAAAGTACCCATTTCATGGAAGCTACATCATTCCTACACTTAGCAGAGACCTATGAAACAATTGCTTTCTAAAGTTAGAATTCGCTTCTTATATAAAATTATTTTCTCTTACATTTTGAGATAGTCTTCCCTTCTCTTAAGTATCTACTATAAGCTCTATTTCATTTTTTTCTCATTTTTTAAAAAAATATTTATTTATTTGAAAGGCAGAATTACAGAGAGAAAGTAGGGAGAGAGGGACAGAGAAATCTTCCCTTCCCTGGTTCACTTTCCAAATGGCCACAGTGGCCAGGGCTGGGCCAGGCCTAAGCCAGGAGCCAGGAGCTTCATCTGGGTCTCCCATGTGGGGGTAGGGACCCAAGGACTTGAGTAATCTACTGATTTCCCAGGTGCACTAGCAGGGAGCTGGATCAGAAGTAGAGCAGCTGTGACTCGAATCAGTGCCCATTTGGGATACTGGCATTGCAGGTGGCAGCTTAACCCCACAGGCCACAGTGCCAGCTCCCATTTACTTTTTCTTAAATGACTGATAATGCATTTGTCAAAAGCTGGGATGAATACAGCAGTGTTAAGTTTCTGCTCTGTGCACTTAGGACTTTGTTTCATAGCTCAAGCAAAATATCTAATTTATGAGCACAATTCCTAGCTCATGTTTAGCAGTGAAACTACCACAAAGTATGAAGTTCTTTACTGAACAACATAACACATGGGACTAGGACTCCTCATGAATTTTTCTAATGTGCTAACTGTAGCCACATTTGCAATACTTTCCTTAGGTTGCTAAGCATATCAGATGGCTTTTACTTTCTCCAGACCCCTGTCATACAACGTATCACATTCATGGAAAAGCCTGCATGGAGAAAAGGAGGCACTGATATTGCAAGATCTGGCTAGGGAGAGTAGAATAATTCTAAAGGGGTAGGGAGAGTTTGGCCTGGTGACTAAGTTTGCATCTCAAATCAAGGTGGAGTGCTTGGGCTTGGTGCTCATCTCTGGCTTCTGGCTCTAGTTGCAGTCCCAGCCATTGCAGGCATTTGGGTAGTAAACCAGCAGCACATAGGAGTGTGCTGTCTGTCTCTGTTCCTCTCCCTCTCAATCTCGGTGGGCATCTTTGCCTTTCCAATATATATGGTTGTTTGTTAATATATATGTTTGTTAAGAATAATTAAATACATGTTAATAGTAAATATATAAGATGAGTTAAAATGTTTGTTAGGAATGGTTCTAATGGGTAAAATCAATATTTCAGGAGACCTGCCTTGTGGTATACAGGGTTGAGCCACCACTTGTGATGCTGGCATGCTGTATTGGAGTCCTGGCTGCTCTGCTCCACAGCAGGGGTCCCTGCTAATACGCCTGGGAAGGGAGCAGAAGAGAGCCCAAGGTCCCTGACATCTTGTATGTGGGAGAACCGGATGGAGTTCCTGGCTCCTGGCGTGGACCTGGCTCAGCCCTGGCTATTGTGGCATTGGGGAATAAACAAGTGAGTGGAAGTCTCCCCTACCCCAGCTCCCTCTCTCGCTCTAACGCTGTCACTCTGCCTTTCAAATAAATAAATAAATAAATCGTTTTAAACAACATAATATTTCATTGTCAGATCAGGAATCCCAGTGGATGGGCGAACCCTCTGTTCAGAAAAAGGCACAAAGGAGACACATAATACTTTTCTACTTCCTTTCACACTATTCAGTACCAATCAAGTTCAAAGGCTTAAAATCACAATATACCTCAAGGAATAAGCTTCTCCCTACAGAGGGAAAGCCTATTCTGACTATAGACTTCTGAGTTTATACTGTGGCTGCCATTTTTCTGTAGTTATTGGTTTTGTTGGGTAAAAGTGTGGAAGGCACGCTGCTTTTATATCATGTTAACCCAATAATTTAACCTCAAAAGGCAGTAACTTAGTGAACTAAGAAATCCGTTATCAGACACTGATATTAGTGAGGTTTACGAGAAAATGCAGACAACCCATTTCAAATATTGCACCAAATATTTGCAACCAGAATAAATTGCATAACCTTGGAGGACCTTTGATTTTATCACGTGTAAGATAATTTAGACTAAATGATCTCATCCAGCTATAGAATGTTGTAAAAAAAAAATCTCAAGGTGCAATGGAAATGTTTTTATTTTTTCCTACAGAGTGTTGGAGTCAGAAAAACCTTTTAGTAGGGCAGTTGTTTGGCACAGCAATTAAGAGGCAGCTTGAGATGCCACATTCCATATCGGAGTGCCTGGGTTCTAATATTTTCACATTCGGTACAAGTGTACACACCCCCCCCCCCCCCAATTATCTATTGGCTTCTAGAAGAATTTTACCAACTGGCCTTATGATTGACTTCGCTGAGCTTTTGTTTTTGACTCTTGAAAACACTACTTTATACCAGGCGGCCAAATTCACCCAGCTTTAAAACTTGTTGGTTAACACATTATTCCCTTCACCGATTAACACAATTAAGCAGAAACCTGGAAACTGATTCAACGGCTCAGGCACTTTGCTTGATGTTTTTCTGGTTACCATGTGGTGTTCCAACTAGATTTTAATCCGTGAAGGTGAGATATGCAATTTTGTTTTGTTTGTTTCTCCTTTTGAAGGCAGAAGCTGTGAAACCCAGTTGAAATGTGTAGTGTCATTCCACCTGGAACACAGCCACACGGCCGTGTTGGTTTGGGCAGCAGTGCAAACAGAGTGAACATAGATGAATACAGGAAGCACAGATGGCTACGTGTTTTATTGGGAGATATGCACCTCTGGAAGGGCTTTTCTCCTAAAGACCAGGAGCTTTCTTTTATTTTTCATGCAGTAAGCTCACAGTTAAGTAAGCACAACAAATCACTTGGTAAGCGTGCAATAAAACTCACAGAACACGATGACAGAGCCTGGTGTCCAGAAGGAAGGTAAGCAAGCGTTTCCATCCAACATCAAGTCCTTCAACTCTGGCAAGAAAAAAGAAAAAACATTTAAAAGACTCTAGGATTTTTCCATCCAGCTCCAAGGCTGGCCTCCTGTATTCGAGTTGTTTGGTTCTCTGTGGCGCTATCTCCTATGGCCTTTTTCTCAGTTGACATGAAACATCCATATGCCTCATGGCCAGAGACAAAAATGAATCAAAACAGTGCTTCATTTGTGGACATTTAAAATAGGACCTGAAATAAGGCAATAAACCTAAAACCAAAGCTTTGTAGGGAGTAAAATTTTCTAAGTCTCCCTCCCTCCCTCCCTCCTTTCCTTCCCTCCCTCCTTCCTTCCTCCCTCTCTTCCTTCCTTCCTTCTTTCCTTCCTTCCTTCCTTTCTTTCTTCCTTACGTACCTCTCTCTCTTTCTCTTCTCTCTCTCTCTCTCTCTTTCTTTCTCTTTCTTTCTTCAGGGTGTGCAGAGAAAGGGAGGAAACCAATCCTCCGGGGCTGGGGGTGTTGGGATTAAAGAGGAGAGGGAGGAGGAAAGGCAAGAAACAGATGGAAGTGCTCTGACTTCCCCCTTCTGGCTACAACCAGAAAAGAGAGGGATCCTGGAGAAGAGAGCTGTTGAGTCTTGTCTGGGTGCAAAGAGCCCAGTTAAAGGCTGCTCAGCTCAACCTGGAGCAGCATCTCATATCAGAGTTGATTCAGTTTTCTCCAAGCAATTGAAACTCTATCAAGACAATAGAAAACACAAGAAATGTTCCCAGTGGCATATAAGATCCTGTTTCTTTCTTTTTTTTTAAGATTATTTATTTGAAAGTCAGAATTACACAGAGAGAGGAGGAGAGAGAGAGAGAGGTCTTCCATCCGATGGCTCACTCTCCAATTGGCCACAATAGCTGGAGCTGCGCCGATCTGAAGCCAGGAGCCAGGAGCCTCGTCCAGGTCTCCCATGCAGGTGCAGGGGCCCAAGGACACGGAACATTCTCTACTGCTTCCCCAGGCCACAGCAGAGAGCTGGATCAGAAGTGGAGCAGCCGGGTCTGGAACCCGTGCCCACAGGAGATGCTGGTACCTCAGGCCAGGGCATTAACCCCACTGTGCCACAGCACTGGCTCCAGATCCTTGTTTCTTAGGTCAGTTTCAAGAATAAAGCTTTGATTAAGAGGATTAGCACATGGCATCATTCCATTATTTAGGGCAGTTAAATACATCAAGAAACAAGGAGGTATGAAATCAGATAATAATTCATCTGGTCTACTAAGACACAGGAACTGATTTAAAATAATTTCCTTTTAATATCACACAACATTCAACTTCTGCAAACATTCTACAATATTCTTATTTACTTCAGTTTCTTTTTCTATAAAAAAAATCTCTTTCTTAACCTTCCTCACCAAAAGTACATTCTTATGCTTTTGGCTTTCTCCACATTCTCTTTTTCTGTCCTACCTACTGGTTTCTTGAATCTACATTCTTGAAGAATCCTCTAACACTTCTAAATTAAGAGAAAAATTATTATTCTAAATTAAGAGAAAAATATCTTCTAACAAAGAACACACAGAATTGTCCTTTAAAGTAGTTTTTGAATTTTGGAGGAATTAAGTAGGAAAACAGATAAATGTTTTTATCTTTGTTTACACAACTATACTTTACCAAGTGTTGCAAACCCTAGAAATCTCAGGAAAATCTTTAAGCCTAGAAAGGAAAACATTTAAGCATAGAACCAACAATGTTTTCAGTAAAAGACATAACACCCTGAGTCCAATTGCAAATATTTCCAGAGAAGAATCAAAACTGTGGATGACAAAAGACTTAAAATAGTCGTGCTCACAATTAGAACAACTCAGCAATTTCTGTGTTTCAGAAAGCACAACAGGGCTTCAGGGACTATTCTTTCCTTTCAGACCTTGGACCTATAATGGGGGAAGGAGGGGCATGACAGACAAGGTATATATTGGCCCTGACCTCAGAACAGAGGGCTCTTAATAGATAGGCAGAGAAATACCCATAATTTAGAAAGCCAGAAAATGAGAGCCTTTTGAGGAGCTGGCCTCACTAGGCTAATCCTCCGCCTGAGGCGCCGGCACCCCGGGTTCTAGTCCCAGTTGCGGCACCAGATTCTGTCCCGGTTGCCCCTCTTCCAGGCCAGCTCTCTGCTGTGGCCCGGAAAGGCAGTGGAGGATGGCCCAAGTGCTTGGGTCCCTGCACCAGCATGGGAGACCGGGAAGAAGCACCTGGCTCCTGGCTTCGGATTGGTGCAGCACGCCGGCTGTGGTGGCCATTTGGGTGGTGAACCAATGGAAGGAAGACCTTTCTCTCTGTCTCTCTCTCACACTGTTTAACTCTGCCTGTAAAACAAACAAACAAACAAACAAAACAAAACAAAACAAACCACCTTTTGAGTCAGAGGGGCCAGAAGGCCTGCCCTTGCCAATCTAGAGAAAAGATATAGGATGGAGTTGGAAAACAGGTCTATGCAAGGTGAATGGTCAGTAGTAAAACCAGCTGTTTAAGACAAGCCATATAAGACCAGTTCTTGCAGAGCTTTTTAAAACAGTGGCCCATGGTTTCCTCTAGCAGGGAATTTAACATATAAAGATAGTGCCAACTAACGCTGGGCCTCGGGCCTCAGCTACTGAGCAGGCACAACATTCCTGCCCCTTCCCAACACTTGAGATGCAGAGGGGGTAGCAAATACACACCAGGAAGTCGTAAGCAAGATGGGCCTTGGTAGTCAGCTGGAAAGACAGAGAGTGAATGGCCTCTGTCTCCTTTAAGATATTCCTGATGGGATCATCTGCAGGGAGTGGATGGGTGTGTGGTTGGCCGGGTGCCGAATGTAATTTTCCTGTTCCACACCCAGATTATTCTGCTACAGGAGCCTTCTTGCAGCATGTGCCCTAACTGCATTTAACTACACGACCTGTGCCTGCATGTGTGCAGCAAGAAGACTGCATGGCTGACACTGCACAGGACAGAGAAGGGAAAGGCCAAGGTGGCTAGTTAAAAAAAAAAAAAAGAGTGAGAGTGGGTAAGCCTCCGTCTCTGTAATAGATTCCTAACAGCATTGGCTTCAGGCAGTGGACAGGTGCATGATTTACAATGTGCCTATGGAATGTGGACACTGAATTGAGGCAGTGGGATGCCTAATGCAATCTTCCCCATTGGGCATTCCCAGCTTATCCCACCATGGAAATCTTCTGGAAGGGAATGCCCAAATAGCATTTACCTGCTTGACCCATTATTGTGTGGGTGCAGTGAAAAGAGACTGGGGCCGCTGTTGAATGAGATAGACAAGGCAAGAGAAAGGACAGAAGTAGGCCTGACATGGAGCATTCCGCAAGTCATCAGCTGAGGCTGCTCAGACTTATCCCCACTTTTGATCTGCCCCGGCTGGCTTGCCAAAGCTATGTTACTAGCCATGGCTGGAGTAGGTACTTGTCTTCCCATGAGAATGGTATTTCAGACATGAGCCAGAGACTGGAAGGAAAAAAATGGTGAGTTTTGATGAACAAACTTTACCTGGCAGGCCAGGAGGGTATCTCAGCAAAAAAAAAACAACAGCCCAGTCTGCATTAAGATTGAAGTTTTTATGGGTATGAGCCCATTCTTTCTCTTCCCTCTTATTCTGGGATGTTGCTGGACAGAGGGCTTTCCAGGTGTGGAATTTATCAAACTCCTCCAAGGGCTTTATCAGCACAATGTTATTGGAACTAATATTTCTCCTGACAGAGCTGGGAAAAGTCCCCTGAGGTGCCCCTGGGAGAGGGCTGGGGGCCCACATATAAGGTTAGCAGATGTGGGCAAGACCTTTGATGTGTGAATGCCACACTGCTTCCAAGGCATGCCTCTTTGTTTCTTCCCTCATTCCACCACGTGAACTTCCCATTTTTCTTCTTTGCTTCTTTTCATATACATAGGCTAATGTCTACTTTCCTACCTAATAAAAATAGGTGAGGAGCTAGGCAAGGAAAGTTGGAAAATCATGGCACAAACTTCCAAGGGTTGTGTGGGTAAAGGGGCTGTTGCCTGCGAACAGACCACCATAACTTTAGTTTTGTTTACAGTGGTGAGAAAAGAGATGGGTTGAAATTAAAGTCTTTAGGAAGGTAATTATGCACTAAGTCAAAGTGCTGTATTGCCTCAGTAACAAAAAACCTGACTTCTAGAGCCAAGAGTTCTATTTTTGTTATTGTCCCCCACAATATCATTCTTCGAATCTACACAACTATTGGTGCTAATAGGGGCACTGATGTTTTTGCTTACTGTTATAAAGGTGAAGGAAAATGTCACTTCAGCCCTATGAGAGTTCAGATGTTCAATAATAAGACATACAGATTTATTCATGTGCAAAAGCATAAAATCATGGCACAGACGAGAGCCATAGGATATCATTCTCCTGTGTATGTAACATTATTCCAAAACTTGCATACCCCTTTATCTATAGGGGAGGGGAGGAAAGAGGAGTGTAGGCAATTCCGAGGGCTATTAAGTGATTACTAGGGGAATCATGACTTCAGAGGTCATCTCTTTGGAATTTGCACAGGCCCAAGGGACAGACAGTATCTGGTCATGGAAGTCCACTGAACTGTGGTTACTTTCCTCAGTCCTCTTTTCTGAGATAGGAGAGGATTTCCAGGTGGAGATAGAAGGGCATTTTTCAATTCGGTCTTAATGCAGATAAGGAGAATTCCAGAGAGCCTTCTTGCTCTTGAAGGGACAGGAATAAAAAAGATTAGAGTAGGTTCATACGCCTAGCCGGTCCTCGGTAGTTGCATTCTCTGCGTTATCGAGCAGAAAGGACGATTGCGCCGCTACGATGAAGCTCGTGAGATTTTTGATGAAATTGAGTCATGAAACTGTAACCATTGAATTGAAGAATGGAACACAGGTCCATGGAACAATCACAGGTGTAGATGTCAGCATGAATACGCATCTTAAAGCCGTGAAAATGACCCTGAAGAACAGAGAACCTGTACAGCTGGAAACACTGAGTATTCGAGGAAATAACATTTGCTATTTTATTCTACCGGA